GAGAGAGAGAGAGAGAGAGAGAGAGAGAGAGAGAGAGAGAGAGAGAGAAACCCTAAAGAAAGCATTACCACAACATCCAAAACAGATCAAACCTAAGAATTTTTAGGGGATGATTTGTGTTGTGGTGGCCCATGTCTTTAATCTCAGTACTTGGGAGGCAGAGGCAGGTGGATCTTTGAATTCAAGGCCAGCCTGGTCTACAGATTGAGTTCCAGGATAGGCAAGGCTACATAGAGGAAACCTGCTTCAAAAAACCCAAAACCAAACAAACAAAAAATTAAGTAAGTAAGTAAATAAGTACTTTGTGGGGAAGAGGAAAGACCTGAAATAAAAATAATAGATAGAGAAAATCGGGAGAGATACTCTCCAAACATAAGGAAGAAATGGACATTCAAGAACAAGAGTACTTAGAACCCAAGAAGACATGAGTGGAGAACCTTCCATGACACCTTAGAATCAAGATACCAAAAGTACACAACCAACGAAGAAAAGCCATTAAAAGCCATGAGGGGCTTATGAAGTACACAGAGAATGATAAAAGATAATCTTAATCAGTGAGAGCCACACAATATCCTTCCTGGGAGGAAAAATGTACAAAAAGAACTAAAAAACAATCAGTTGCTTCCAGCAAACAACTAAGGCAAACAAAGACAAAAAGAAAAGAGCAGGCAACAATTGAGACAACCAGAAAAATAAACAAAGTTTCAACAACTAACAAAGCTAGTCTTCTCAATAGTGAGCCTTAATGTGCATTCTCTTAACTCTCCAAAAGGATACACACCTTCTTACTGGATTAAGAAGCAAGGTCCAACTTTTTAAGACACACGGGGTGTGCACACATATGCCATCAGGGAAATAACATAAGTTAATATATCAAGTGAAATGAAATCAAGATCAAACATTATTTATACACATAACAGATAAAGGGGCCTTGAACCAAAATTAAAATAGAAGATCACAACCATCTAAAAAAAGATGATGCGTCACAAGGACAGGGCAAGTGTAAGTACCTGTGAGCTCAACAGTAGGGTACAACGCAGCTTTCAGAGTACTTTATACAGCTTTCAGGGGTAGAACAGAGCAACAGCCACTAGAGCAACAGCCACTAGGCGCAATGTGATTGACAGAACAGTGTAACGTTTAAACTGATTGGTCCTTGGGGAATGAGGTGGCAAGGGCTTGCCTTTATCTGCTGGTCCTCCCTGTGGTCTTCCTGAGGAATGTCATCATCCTCTTCCTACTGGAGGGGAGGGGTGCCTACGAGCTCCATGACCTTTCTTTTCCTGGAGGGGAGGGGCCTGGTGGAATTTTCCAAAGGCTCTGAGCTGGCCTCTTCACAGGTAACATTTTAGATCATTAAAAGTGATCCTAACAAAAACCAAAGACCTTAGAAAATTTTCTTATAGTCTAAAGTAACATAAGGAAATACAACTAGAAATAGCTAATAAGAGACATAAAGCCGCCGGGCGGTGGTGGTGCACACCTTTAATCCCAGCACTTGGGAGGCAGAGGCAGGCGGATTTCTGAGTTCGAGGCCAGCCTGGTCTACAGAGTGAGTTCCAGGACAGCCAGAACTACACAGAGAAACCCTGTCTCGAAAAAAAAAAAGACCAAAGAGACATAAAGGTGTGTGTGTGTGTGTGTGTGTGTGTGTATGACATGAGAGCAGGTGTGAGAATGTCTAGGGACAGAATGTGAACTAATGGTAAAGCAGGGGAGGAAAGGGGGAACAGTGTGGGAACATAGGGAATACATTCAACATGCATACTATTATATGAAACTTTTCAAAATGTAAAACATTCTTTTAAAGCAGTGAAAAGGCTATACTCCACCCCCTCTTCAGATTCAAACCAGCTAAGAACTACCAAAATGTTTCATTTGTTGCATCAGAGCAGGAAGTACAAGTCACACTGTAAAGCAGAGCATTACAAGAACCAGCACAGGCCAATGGTACCGGGATCTTTGACAGCAATATGGGGAAAGAGGCGTGTGGCTTCATTAAACAGTAACAGGACAATAAACTCTCATTGCTGGATAGTTAATTAACTCAATCAAAAAAGTCAATGGTGGGCTTGAGAGATGGCTCAGCGGTTAAAAGCACTGACTGTTCTAGAGGTCCTGAGTTCAATTCCCAGCAACCACATGGTGGCTCGCAACCATCTGTAATCGGGACCCGATGACCTCTTCTGGTATGTCTCAGTGACAGTGTACCTACATACATGAAATAAATAAATCTAAAAGGAAAAAAAAAAGATCAGTGGTTAAAGGAAAAGGACGTCATACTAAAATATATTCTGGGGGAAAACTCAACTAAACAATGACTTTTTTACTCAAGCCAGCTTTCTAACTGAACATGATTATGTTAAAACTCAAAAACGGCAAAGATAGTGTGGATGCCCTTTCATGAGTATTTCAATAGTCAATTTTGCATGGTATGGGTAAGAGCCAATGTGTTTTTCCTCTCAAGCAAATTGTAAGTCATTTGATCATTAACCAACATTTGTTCCACCAACACGGACAGAATGGGCTAGAACTTACCTTAATACTTGAATGTAATTAAAATGATATAAAAGCAAAAAGGAGAGGGGGGATGGGATGGTGGTTTCTAGGGAGGGGAAATGGGAAAAGGGAATGACATCTGAAATGTAAATAAATAAAATATCCAATAAAAATTAAAACAAAAAACAAAACCGAGAGTAGAAAGGTGGCCAAAAAGAAGAAAAGCCAAGCAAGCACCGCTGCCTAAGAGGTGACAGAAGAGGAGGTCTGGGCAGTACGCACGCGCACAGGCAACCGGAAGCTCTAGAGCCAGCGCAAACTGCTCAGGACAATCGCCCATCCCTCAATTCCAAAGCTGCGCTGAATTTGGGTTCTCACTGCTAGGAAGCATGACTGTTGTTGGGAACTGACTCACCCAGACATCTTCTCTTCACCCGCTCCAGCTCCTGCACCCTTCGGGCTGACAGCACCAGAGAGACCCCGAGTTTAGATAACTGAAAAGCCAGCTCCTCGCCAATGCCACTTGACGCTCCCGTAATCCACACCACCATGTCGGTCAGGGCCTGTTCTGTGGAGGAAGGAGGAGACTTGGCAGGAATATGCATGGGATAGTGATGCTCAGATATCACAGAGAAGCAAAACAGGAGGGGTATGTGGTGGCACACACCTTTGATCCCAGCACCCAGGAGGCAAAAGCAGGCAGATCTCTTTGAGTTCAAAAGGCCAGCCTGATTTACACAATGAATTCCAGAACAGCCAGAGCCATGTAGGGAAACTCTGACTCAAACAACTACACAACAACAAAAAGACTAAATAAACTTTAAATTAAATATGACATTAAATATGACAAAACTACCATGTGGAACTTAGTATTTCAAATCTCCTAAGATGCCAGGCAGTGGTGGCGCACGCCTTTAATTCCAGCACTTGGGAGGCAGAGACAGGCAGATTTCTGAGTTCAAGGCCAGCCTGGTCTACAGAGTGAGTTCCAGGACAGTCAGGACTACACAGAGAAACCCTGTCTCGAAAAACCAAAACAAAAACAAACAAACAAACAAACAAAAAACCCCTAAGACTTCTTAAAAAGCAAAATGTTTTCCATCCATCCAATATTTTGAATATTTCTGATTTCTTGGTAAAATTTCCATCCTTGATTCTAACTCCAATAGTTTCATTCTAAGACTTTATTTATCTATGTGTTTGATAAAGAAAATTAAAGCTTCTAAGTAGAAACTAGTGGCCTGTAGTCAATTTTCTTACCCTTTAAATGGAAGATTTAGATTAAATAACTGGTTCCCTTCCAGTTTTGTTTTTCTGTGCACTGGCTGCCAAGCCTGCACGAGTTATGCCCTAAAAATGACACACTGAGGAGTAAGATTTTGGTCTGTAGGGGTGAGATTTGCAGAGAGGCAGGAAGACAAAAATATATTATCAGTCTTATTACGCCCTGTCACTACCCCAGACAATTTTCACCCACTCAGCACAGATAACATTGTCTTCTGAACTGTCACTTCTAAGCAAATGTCACCACACACTTTGGGTACTTGTCTTAAGAGACCAAGAAAATTCAACTGAGTTCTTTAGGATCCAAAGTCTACCTGTGAGCATGCCATGCACTTAACTTGAATGTGACTCCCCTGTTTTTAAAGGAGGACCAGCAATGTCTGCTTCTAGAGTTGGGCTAAATTGAAGATCAGCGGCTGTGAAATGCTGGACACAAAGTTACAGGTCCTTCAAATGTGAAGAAAGACAAGGGCCAAAAGCATCCAGAATTCGCCTTCCATTGCAGCTAGTAAAAGGCAATTACAGCTCTGGGAACCGCTGGCGGCAGAGCTAAAATATGCAGCCCTAGGCTCTGGCTCCGCCTAGGGTGCAGGCAGGGGAGGAGTGGGTGTCCTAGGCGAGCCAGGTGCGCTCCACCGTCTCTGTCTAGGGCTGCACTGCCTAGGTACTTTGGAATGAAGTATGATGGCTCCAAGAGAGCACAGACACTGACTCGACTTCTAACAAAATGTCACAATGGGAACAAAAAACAAACAAACAGACAAAAACTGGAATGCCTTTAAGTATTTAAGGATACCACCACTGGCTCAGTGATCAACAGTTGTCAATTCAAGAAGGGAGTTGTTTTGCAGTCGCCCAAAAGCTCGGAATACCCAAGATACAATTCACAGACCACATGAAGCTCAAGAAGAAGGAAGACCAAAGTGTGGATACTTCGATCCTTCTTAGAAGGGGGAACAAAATACCCACGGGAGGAGATACAGAGACAAAGTGTGGAGCAGAGACTGAAGGAAAGGCTATCCAGAGACTGCCCCACCTGGGGGTCCATCCCATATACAGTTATCAAACCCAGACACTATTGTGGATGCCAAGAAGAGCTTGTTGACAGGAGTCTGATATAGCTGTCTCCTGAGAGGCTCTGTCAGACCCTGACAAATACAGAGGTAGATGTTCGCAACCAACCATTGGACTGAGCAAGAGGTCCCCAATGGAGGAGTTAGAGAAAAGATTGAAGGAGCTGAAGGGGTTTGCAGCCCCATAGGAAGAAAAACAATATCAACCAACCAGACACCCCAGGGCTCCCAGGAACTAAACCACCAACCAAAGAGTACACATGGGGGTACCCATGGCTCCAGCCGCATACGGAGCAGAGGATGGCACCAATGGGAGGAGAGGCCCTTAGCCCTGTGATGGCGCAACGCCCCAGTGTAGGGGAATGCCAGGATAGGGAAGCCGGAGTGGGTGGGAGGGTGGGAGATAACCCTCATAGAAGCAGGGGAAGAGGGTGGGATAGAGGGTTTTCAGAGGGGAAACCCGGAAAGGGGATAACATTTGAAATGTAAATAAAGCTGGGCAGTGGCTGCGCACGCCTTTGATCCCAGCACTTGGGAGGCAGAGACAGGGGGATTTCTGAGTTCGAGGCCAGCCTGGTCTACAGAGTGAGTTCCAGGACAGCCAGAACTACACAGAGAAACTCTGTCTTGAAAAACCAAAAAAAAAAAAAAAATGTAAATAAAGAAAATATCTAATAAAAATTTCCAAAACAAAAAAAAAGAGTTGTTTTGCAGGTGAATGCTTTCCAAAGCTTTATTTATACTTTGGTGGAAGACAAACATCCACGTTTTCGAGGCCCAGAGCCCACCCCTCCCCTCATTCAGCTGCCTTTGCTGAAAATGGAACCCAGGATTTGTCCAGAGCTGGGTAGGTTCTCCAGTGCTCCCAGCGGTCCCCACCCCACAGGAGACTTTTATTAACTAGATGAACTGAACAAAACAAGTTATTGAGAGAAATGAATGCATTGCTAGTAGACTTGGTTTTGCTTTGTTTAGTCTATCTTCAGGACCTTAAAAATACAACCCGTCTTCTAGATAAGATGTGCCCATTACACTCACAAACTTACTATAGCTCTGGTTACTTAAGAGTTGTACAAGGTTAGCTCAAGATCACTCATCATTCCAGAAGGCAACACTAACTGAATTCAGTGGGTTAGAAAAACAAACAACAACAACAACCAACCAAAACCCAGAATGTGGAAGGAAGACAGCCAGCTCCCATAGCAGAGACTACAGTAGTTAGAGGAAGGGGTTGGGTATGATAACCATACAAGGGCTTTTTCATGAATTTTTCAAAGCCTATTGTTATTTCCCCACTGGAGCCCAGGGCACAGCTGACGGTGGAGTACGGAGTGATGGTGTTCCCAGTTAACTGCTCTGCCAACTATTGAGTTATTAATAACAAAGTAGCTCAAAGTAGTCAAGGATAAAGCAACATCTGTCATCACTGTTACAGAAAAAGTTACTACAGGAGTCTTTCCTTCAGCAGGCGGAGTGCCAGATTGCAGACAATGACTGTGAAACACAGATTTCTTTACATGCTAGAATGTCTAACCCACTTTTATGTCAAAGGTTGTTTTGTGAATTAAGCACTCCCCCCAAATACACACACACACACACACACACACACACACACACACTAGCTTTCTTTCTCTTAGTTTAACACCAAAAAATAGCAGCATCACGAGGTGCCAGAGACTACAATGTTACTTACTATATCATTAAAACATAAGGCCTACTCTGACTGAGACCACTATTGAAACCTTGAAGAAGTGACAGTGGCTTGCCTCTATTGTCAAGGTGTCTACACATAGTACTTTAATATCTGTGCTGATGTCAGAATGCCAAGGGCCATCAAGCCTTGTAGTACAGCTGTTTACATCATTTTAGCTCTTAAGAGAGAGCTCTTGGACTATAAAATAATATCTATACCCATATGTTCTGATGTTATGTATAGAGCTATATTCCACAAATATGGCAAATCGGAAAATATAAATTTGAGGAGGAGTCAAATGATGGACTAGTTTAAAGGAAAATCGTGCAAGGCTCTAACTACAGGGTGTATATTGTCTCAACAGTGCCTAAAGGGAAGCAAGAAGCACACCAAAACATAAAGACAACGTAGAACTCCTGGTAAGTTAGAAATGGAAGTGATGCTTGTGTGTGTTTGAAGAGATCTGTAGTGGAAATAGTGACCCTCCCTTCATAATAAAAGTACTGGAGACTTGAAGTATGAAATTAGAGATAGAGTGGGTTTTTTTGGTTTTTTGGGTTTTTTGTTTGTTTGTTTGTTTTGTTTCTTCAAGACAGGGTTTCTCTGTGTAGTCCTGGCTGTCCTGGAACTCACTCTGTAGACCAGGCTGGCCTCAAACTCTCGAACTCAGAAATCTGCCTGCCTCTGCCTCCCAAGTGCTGGGATTAAAGGCATGCGCAACCACCACCCCTCACCCCCCGGGCTTTTCCCGCTTTTCAAAGGCCGGCATCAGCCCAGAATGTCAAGCAAGGCTGCTGACAGAGCACAATCTCATAACTGATAACTGAATGCATGTGTGTATTGCCTAAAACATTGGATCGTCAAGAGGCCACATTCTTACAGGCCATTGAGGTCTTAGCTTTCCCTCCATTGTTTACCTTTCTTTTTTCCCCTCAATAAAAACTGTGTGTGGGTCCAAATCAACATTTTGTAACCTGTTTATTCTAATGTTTATGGGAAGCATGACTTTGTGGGCAACTTTTGCTGTTAATAATTTTTTACTCTAAGCTTCTAGATTGGCTGGGAGGAATAATTTGGGGTGGAAGGGGGAGAACAGGAGTAGCCAGAGCATCAGACTCCAACAGAGGTCCAAGGTTATCTGTGTGTGGACTTAAAAGGGCACCAGGCACTTCTGAAAATGAGCCAACAGATTTTATCTCTTAGACCTGTGATGGTTTTCTTGTTCGTTTTGCTTATTGATTGCTGCTGGGGATGTTTAAGCTACATTAAAATGCTTAAATTATATTAGAACGGTGTTGAGGTGTAAGGTCTCAGGACTGACACATGTGATGCCCGGGTTTTAGTTGGGTTTTAGTTTAGCTCCCTAAATGTAGACCTCTCTCCTGAAGACATGCCAAGAACTGTCAGAAGGAATTATACTCACATCAGGGAGGGGTGGAAGTCCTAACCTTTTCCTTAGATTGAGCCTGTCCTTTGTTAGGGAAGGGCAGTGGCTTGGTTTTATTTCCTGGAT